AGGCGCCGAGCCGACAATGAATTTATAAAAGCATGCCAGTTCATCAAAAGTTAGAAATATCCATCCCAAGGCCACACTCCTAAGAGACAGCAGAGATTGGCGATTCCCTGCCAGTTTACCTCCTCGGTCCTTTCTTTCTGTCTCCCTACTGCATCTTGAATCTGTGGCTCAGTGTTTCCCTCCCTTCATTTCATTCCTGGAGTTGTTTGGAGAATTGGGTACATTACCAGGTTGTGTTATTGTTTCGGCAAGGAATCATTATAATGTTATCAGGGGACCTCTGTTTGCTACGGTTTGAAAATGTAGCATTTATCTTAAGAGAGCAATCATAGCCTTTAGGAAGTACTGTCTCTGTACTGTGAATGGTGCCCCAAATGGAATTTAATATTCTCTTTGGTATTAAGTTTAGTGGAGGTTTTGCTTTTTAAGGTTTATTCTGAGTGTTACTCTTTTTAAACAGCTTTGTTAAGTATAGTTTATACTATATAATTCACTCATTTACAATGTATTATATAATTCACCAGCTTTTAGTATATTCACAGGGTTGTGCAGTTATTATCACGTCTAATTCTAGAACATATTTATCATCTGAAAGAGAAACCCCATACCATTAGAGATCTTTCCCCATCCCCTCTCCCCATCAGGTTCTATGTCTGTAGAATCACCCTTCTAGAGATTTTATATAAATGGAATCATATAATATATGGTCTTTTTTTTTAATTGGTTTTTGTCTGAGTACTTTTTGTATTGTTGTAACACAGTTCCTGAGGCTAAGTGTTTCTGAAGAAAAGAGGTTTATTTGGTTTATGCTTCTGGCGGCTGAAAAGTCTCTTGGGCAGCTGCTTTGGCTGAGGACCTCTTGCTACCTCCACTTCTGGCAGAAATCGAAAGGGGGAGTGGGTGTGTGCAGAGATCACAGTGAGAGAGGAAGCTAGCCTTTTTGTTACTAACCCACTCTCATGGGAACTAATCCATTACCCCCAGGAGGGCATTATTCTATTCATGAGGGATCTGCCCCCTAACTCAGCTGACTCCTGTTAGCCCCCACCTTCCAACACTGCCACACTGGGGATCAAATTCAACATGAGTTTGGTGGGGACAAGCAGCGCCCAAACCATGGCAGCTTCTTTGATTTAGCATGACCTTTCAAGGTTCATTCACGCTGTAGCATGCATTGGTACTTTGTTCCTTTTTAGTGCTGAATAAATACTATTATATGAATATCCGCACATTTTTATGTGTTTATTAGTTGATGGGCATTTGGATTGTTTCCACTTTTTGGCTACACAGGTAATGCTACTATGAATATTGCGCAGTAGCATATGAGTTTTTGGTGGGAATTCCCACAAGCCGCTTAGGAGGGTTCCAATTTCTCTGTATTATTGTCAGCACTTGTTACTGCCTTTTCTATTACAGCCATCGTAGTGGATGAAATGGTACCATGTGGTTTTGATTTGCATTTTCCTTACGACTCAAGATGTTGTGTACCTTTTCATGTGCTTATGGGCCATTTGCCTGTCTTGTTTGAAGAAAAGTCTATTCAAATCCTTTGCCCCTGGCTGAGTATGGTGGCTCGTGCCTATAATCCCAGCACTGTGGAAGGCCACGCTGCGAGGATCCCTTGAATACAGGAGTTTGAGAACAGCCTGAACAAAATTGAGACCCCTGTCTCTACTGAGAATAGAAAAATTAGCTGGACATCATGTCGGACACCTGTAGTCCCAGCTACTCAGGAGGCTGAGGCAGAAGGGTCCCTTGAATCTAAGAGTTTGAAGTTGCTGTGAGCTAGTCTGCTGCCATGGCCTTCTAGCCTGGGTCCTCAAAAAATCAAATAAAACCAAATCCTTTGCCCATTTTTATTTGTGTTATTGCCTTTTTTTATTGAGTTGGAGTTTGTTATATATTCTGGGTATAAATTCTTATCAGATATGCAGTTCATTACATTTCTAGAGGTTGTCTTTGTCCTTAATAGTATTGTTTATAGTACAAAAGTTTTAACTTTTTGCATAGCTCAGTTTATCTACTTTTTCTTCTGTCATTTATGCTTTTGGTATCATTTCTCAGAAGCCTAGTTTGTGGTCATGTGGTCACTAAGATTTCCTAGGTTTTCTTCAAACAATGTTATAGTTTTGTTCCTTAAATTAGATTTTTGATCCATTTTAGTTAATTTTTTGGTGTAGGGCAAAGTTGGGGTCCTTTATTCATTATATTTATGATACTTCTCTGTGAAGGAGTAGCCAATTATTGATTTAAAAGATTGCCAGTGTTTTAAAGACTCGGTCTTCAGCTGAGTCTGTATAAGATTAGCCCAGAGTGAGTGTGTGTTAGGGTAGGTTTCTGTTCTCTGTTCTTAAGCAAGTAATAGGAACTTGAAAGCAAGGTTTCCTGGGATAGTCTGTAATGAGGATGAAAAAACATTGGCTGCATAGGAATTTTTCATTAGGCTGATTTTCCTTCAAACAGAATAAATTTTAAAATACCTCCTATTTCGGCTCAGTGCCTATGGCTCAAGTGGCTAAGGCGCCAGCCACATACACCTAAGGTGGCGGGTTTGAATCTAGCCCGGCCTGCCAAACAACAATGATGGCTGCAACCAAAAAATAGCCGGGCATTGTGGCGGGTGCCTGTAGTCCCAGCTACTTGGGAGGCGGAGGCAGGAGAATCGCTTGAGCCCAGGAGTTGGAGGTTGCTGTGAGCTGTGATGCCACAGCACTCTACCCAGGGTGACAGCTTGAGGCGTTGTCTCAAAAAAAAAAAAAATCTCCTATTTCTTCATTGCACTAAATAAGCTGGAAAAGATGGAGGGAAACTCCAACTTAATTTAGTTTCAAGCTGAATAATCATCTTTAAAGAGATTGGAATAGAAGAGAAATGGCCTTTTTGTCTTACCTTTTTGCCTTACTCTGAACTCTGGCAGCATTTGTTTTAGTTAACACAATAGTTAACATTTTGAGGGTCTTAGGAATCTAATACCTGGATGGTGGCAGGTGATGGCGAAGCAAGGAGGGAAGGTGGGGAGTTGGGAGAGTCAGCCCAGTTCAGTGACTGTCCAGAAGGCAGTTGAATAAACAGACCTGATGTTGGGTCCAGGGGCCCCGTGTTTAGATTCTGAGGTGCTGGCCCTCTGATTGCTCACCTGGTCTGAGAGAACACCAGGCTGGGATACCATCCTGGCACATCTGTGCCTTGTCTGATCTTCGACGTGGAAGATGACCCCAGTGGTGACTGAGGGGGAACAGCAAGGAAGATGGCAGAGAACCTGGAGAGTAGGGGGTCACAGGAGCCCTGTTCAGCAGAGTCAATTTGGAGACTGGAAGGAAGATGGCCTTTGTTTTGGTGCTGTCTTGTCGTTGGGCCCTTGGAAAGAGCAGTCTCTGTGAAATAGTGAGAACAAAGTGAGGCTGTTGTGGATCGAGGAGAGTGGGAGCAAATCAAGGCTGCGGAGCCATTTTCTAATTAAGTCCTTGAAAAGTCATGAAAAGTATCAGTGTTTAAAAATTAGGGATTCAGAGCTCAGCAGAGATCTTTTCTTTTACCGTAATGGCACTGTGACGTCAGACTGAGTTTGGCAGTGTGTGGATCATGGTTTGATGCCTTCTCTTGAGCCTACATCATCTTCTGGTATCTCAACAACTGTATGTCTTCCACCACAGTGGGACAGTCCTTCTGATTTCTTTTGTTGTTCTTATGGCAGGTTTGGACAAAGACTGTCGCCTAACTGAACCGCTCGGCATGAGAATAGCCGAGTTTCCTTTGAATCCCATGTTTGCCAAAATGCTGCTTGAATCAGGTAGGTAGAGCCTGATAGCTCATGTTGAGTTTATTTGGATTATCAGAAGAGTTAGTTCCCTGAATTCAGAGCACCCTGGGGAGGAGGACACAAGTGTAGTAAAAAATAGACACTGTACCATTTAACCATATAATTCTGTGACATTCAGTATATTCACATTGCTGTGCGGCACCAGCACCGTCCATTTCTAGAATTGTTTCCATCTTCCTCATTGAAGCTCTGTACCGATTAAACACCTAACTCGCCATCCCCAGCTCCTCACATCAAAAATTGTACTTTCAGTTTCTGAATTTGATCCCTCTTGGAACCTTATATAAGTGGAATTCTACCCTTGCAAATGACTTATTTCACTTAACATAATGTTTCCAAGGTTCATCCATGTTGTAATGTGTATCAACATTTCCTTTATTTCTAAGGCTGACTAGTATTCCACTACATGTATAATACCACATTGTGTTATCCATTCATCTGTGGACGGGCATGTAAAGTTTGTACCTTTTTGCCATTGTGAATAATGCTGTTTATAAACAGGCGTGTACAAATATTCCTTAGAGTTCCTGTTTCATTTCCTTTGGGTGTATACCCAGAAATGGAATTACTAAATGATATGGTAGGTAATTCTTTGTTTAAATTTTAAAAACATTTATTTTTATTTTTTAAATATTTATCATTTTTATTATATTTTTCAAGGCAGAATCTTCTCCTGTTGCCCTGGCTAGAGTGTAGTGGGTCAGCCCAGCTCACTACAACCTCAAACTCAAGCGATCCTCTTGCCTAAGCCTCCTGAGTATGTGGAACTGCAGGTGCCTGCAACATTGCCCAGCTAATGTTTTTCTATTTTTGGTAGGGACAGGGTCTGGCTTATGCTCAGGCTGTGGTTTTTTTTTTTTTTTTTTTGTAGAGACAGAGTCTTTCTTTATTGCCCTTGGTAGAGTGCTGTGCTGTCACATAGTTCACAGCAACCTCCAGATCCTGGGATTAGGTGATTCTCTTGCCTCAGCCTCCTGAGTATCTGGGACTACAGGCACCTGCCACAGCACTCGGATATTTTTTTGTTTTAGTTTGGCCGGGGCCAGGTTTGAACCTGCCACCCTCAGTATATGGGACCTGCGCCCTACCCAGTGAGCCACAGGCGCTGCCCCTCAGGCTGGTTTTGAACTCCTGGTCTCAAGCAATCCTTCTATGTTGGCCTCCCAGAGTACTTAAAAATTTATTTTTAATTGACAAATAATCATTGTGTGTATTTATGAGGTACACTGTGCTCTTTTGATCTATATACACATGGTAGATTCAATGAGTCCAATTAACATATCCATCACTTTATCAGTTTACCTTTTTCTTGTGATGAGAACATTAAAAATGTATTCTTTTAGTGATTTTGAAATTGCAATAATACATTATTATTAACTGTGGTCATCGTGCAATATAATAAATCACTAAAACTTACTCTTCCATCTGACTGGAACTTTGTAGCTTTTGATCAGCTCCTTCCCTTTTCCCATCCTCCCCTCAGCCCTGTTAACTACTTTTCTACTGTTTCTGTAAGGCCAACTTTTTTAGATTCTAAACATAAGTGAGATCATACAGTGTTTGCTTTTCTGGGCCTGGCTTATTTCACTAGCATAATGTCTTCCAGTTCCATCTATGTTGTCAAGAATGACAGAATATCCTTTTTTTACAAGGCTATATGGTATTTCATTGTGTGTGTACACACATCATATTTTCTTTGTTCATTTATCCATTGATGAAGATATCTTCCATATTTGGGCTATTATGAGTAATGGTGAAATGAATATGGAAGTGCAGAATCTCTTTGAATATCAATTTCAGTTCTTTTGGATATATACTCAGAAGTAGGATTGCTGTATTATGTGGTAATTCGATTTTTAGCCTTTTGAGTAACATCCATATTCTTTTCTAGAATGGCTGTACTGGGCCAGGAGCAGTGGCTCACACCTATAATCTTGGCACTCTGGGAGGCCAAGGCGGGTGGATTGCCTAAGATCATGAGTTTGAGACCAGCCTAAGCCAGCGTGAGACCTCGTCCCTAAAAATATCCGGGCGTTGTGGCAGGTGCCTGTAGTCCCAGCTACTCGGGAGGCTGAGGCAAAAGAGTCACTTGAGCCCAAGAGTTTGAGGTTGCTGTGAGCTGTGACACCACAACACTGTACCAAGCGTGACAAAGTGAGACTCCTGTCTCAAAAAATAAATAAATAAAATGGCTGCCCTAACTTTAATTTTTTTGCAGAATTGCCATATTATTTTCCACAGCGGCTGCACCATTTTGCATTCCTACCAGCAATACACAAGGTTTCCAATTTCTCTGACACCTTCAGATTTTTTTGAGGGCATGAATTTTAAGATAAAAGTGTGTATATAACCTAAAGTTTTTTTGTTTTTTATATTTTCTTTTTTGAGACAGAGTCTCACTATGTCGCCCTGGGTAGAGTGCTGTAGTGTCACAGCTCACAGCAACCTCTCATTCTTGGGCTTAAGCAGTTCTCTTGCCTCAGTCTCCTAAGTAGCTGGGACCACAGGCACCCACCACACAGCCCGGCTGTTTTTTTGTTGTAGGTATCATTGTTGTTTGGCAGGCCCAGGCTGGATTTGGACCCCTCCAGTGTATGTGGCTGGCACCCCCCACCCCTAGCCACTGAGTTACAGGTGCCAAGCCTAACCAAGAGATTTTTTTATAATTAGAAATCAAAACCATCCCTCGACAATATAGTATCTCTTTTCCCCTATACTGGGAAAGATAGTATTATTTTGTTCTTTTGTCTTATTTTTGTGTCAACTTGCAATTTACGGAGCTGTATTTGAGACCCAGCATGGTGAAAGTTAACTATAGTTATGATTTGGAACAACCACATGCCCTTAGCCTCACGTTGAGTAACAGGATTCTAAATGTGGGGTTGGAGGCGCACAACCTTCATGAGTCAGGAGTCCATGGGGAGAGGGGGACAGTACAGGTTGTTCAGCTCAATGCCCTGGAGTGCTGACTACCGCAGACTCTGTTTCCAGCTGCCCACAGCCCACCAGCCACTTTCCTGGTCTAGCTGTGCCTCAGGCTTCCCAGTTGACATGAGCCCTTTTGAGAGGGTGGCCACTTCACAGAAAAGTCCAGGAGCAGAGAAACAATGGAAGGGATGCAGCTCACATATTCCCTGTCCTCCTTTTTTCATGTGTATTGTTGAGATGTTAGACGTCCACAGGAGAGGAGGGAGCAGCCGTGGAGCTGACCTGCCCGTTGCAGTCTGGACCCCACCTTGGCTTATAGCTAAGAGTCCCTTGTGTTATAACTACAGAGTGGACCAGTAGCACCATTCTCAGAGTCCTTCAGGGCTGCTGTTCATCTGGGTTATATATAGAACATTCTGTTTGTCAAGTGAAGTATTTATATACTGTAAGCTTAAAAAAAATGAACAGTATGAAATATGTGATCTTAGTTTACAATATGGTGCAAGGACAATATGGGTGTCTTTTATTTCCCATTGACACATTGTTCCCCAACATGCCTTCTGTTTTATAGGAAATTTTGGTTGCTCTCAGGAAATTCTAAGCATTGCGGCCATGATGCAGATCCAGAATATCTTTGTGGTTCCCTCAAACCAGAAGTCTCAGGCAGTAAGTCCGGCTTTCCTCCCATGCTGTTCATTCTAGTCAGTCTCTTTTACAGTAAGCTTTCCTTGTTGAAACTCCACCCAGGAACTGGGGAGGACAGAGCTGTGCAGACAGTGTCAGCTGTCACTTTGAGTGTTTACGGTATGTCTGGTATTGTGCCACACATTTGACAGCCGTTTCATTTTATCTTCACCATAAACCTGTGGGATAGATACTGTCATACTTTAGAGATGGAGGCACAGAACAGTTAGGTTACTCATTCATGGTTGCACAGCCAAAAATGGCAAAGTTGGCTTTCACAGTCCAAGGCCCTGGACCTTAACCATTGAACTACTGACTTTCTTATTTGATGGTGGTCTTATAAGATTAATGTGATTTTTTTTTTTTTTTTGGAGACAGTCTCATTCTATTACCCTGGGAAGAGTGCTATAGCATTGAGCAATTCTCTTGCCTCAGCCTCCCAAGTAGCTGGAACTACAGGCATGCACCACAATCCCAGCTAGTTTTTCTATTTTTAGTAAATACAGGGTCTCATTCTTGCTCAGGCTGGTCTCAAACTCCTGAACTCATGAAATCTGCCTGCCTTGGCCTCCCAAAGTGCTAAGATTATAGGCATGAGCAGCCGCCTCTGGTCAATACTGTATCTTTATTTATTTATTTTTGTCTTTTGATCAGCTTCTGAAATCTAGATGATACTGTATTTTTCTGTATCTTTTCTGTGTTTAGATCTATTTACACAAATACCTGCCAATGTGTTACCGTTACCTACAGTATTCAGTACAGTATGTGCCATGTGGCCTGGGTGTGTAGCAGGTGCCGGGGCTGAATGGAAGGTATCCAGCCGCATGATAGGAAAAGTAGAGACATACGTGGCTGGACACTTTCCAGAGAGTCCTCGTACCCCATCTAGATTTGTGTAAGTACACGCTGGTGTCTGCCCAACAGTGAATTGTCTAACAGCGCTTTTCTTGGAAGGAATCCCTGTCATTAAGCGAGGCAGGACTCTTATCTGAGTACTGTGGGCATGTTGTATCTGCTGCTCCTTTAATCCATGGGAGCATATGGCCCTGCTCAGGATTTTAGATAAGAGAAATTCAAGATGGGGTCTGAAAGGATTGGACAGGTAGCGGTAGCCTGGAGTTACTGAGGGTCTCCCATGTGCCTGAGTCAGCCCCTGCCCTTCTGGAGCCTTCGTTCTTGAGGGGCTGAGAGGAATTCATATGAAAAAGACGATACTGACTGGAGCAAGGAGAGGAGAGACAAGAACACTTAACAAATTTCTGTGCCAAGTATTTAGTAGTGAATTATCTCACTCCACTACCATCTTGATGGAGAGGTTTCATTTCCCAGTTTTACAGATAAGGAAATCAAGGTCCAGAAAGAATAAATAACCAGTCTGAGGGCTGTCAGAATACCACAGAGCCACAATGGTGCAAACCAGATCTTTCTCAGTCCACAACCCATATGCTCATCATACAGTGTTACCTCCCTGTAAAGAGGCTCACAGGAATTAACTTCTAAATGTTGCTTTACTCTGTCCAGATTCGAGTGCACCGTAAATTTGCTGTGGAGGAGGGCGATCACCTCACTATGCTCAATGTGTATGAAGCATTCATCAAAGTAAGCACAGCTGCTGCTCAAAGGGCCCCCTCAGCGCACCAGCCGCTCATGGTGATCTAGGGGCGAGGATCCCTGAAGTTCAGTTCCTAAAGGAATGGCCAGGAGACCCCTTTGTTTTCCTATTAGGCTTATTGCCACTCTTCTAGCTGGTGGTTCGGCCTTTCTGCCCGAGGTTCTGATGTGATACTGCTGGAAAGAACACAGGAATTGTTTATTGCTTTCCCACACCTGGAGATACAGTGTGCTGGCAGCAGGCTCTGGGCTCCTCCTCAGCATATGTCCTATCACTGTTTATTAGGCAGAGAAGGAACATTTGAAAAAGAAATCCTATTATATTTTCTGCCAAACAGATACAGCTGAGAGCAACTTATAGTTTTGGGTTGACTCTTCTAGTGAACAGACACTTAGGTGAGGATTTGTGCATATTCACATATCCTACCTGTATTTAGCCAGGGTAATGTTAATTAATTTATTTATTTGTTTTTGAGACAGAGTCTTAAGCTGTCTCCCTGGGTAGAGTGCTTTGGCATCACAGCTCACAGCAACCTCTAATTCTTGGGCTTAAGTGATTCTCTTGCCTCAGCCTCCCAAGTAGCTGGGACTACAGGCACCCTCCACAACACTGGCTATTTTTTTGTTGTAGTTGTCATTGTTGTTTGGCAGGCCCCAGCGGGGTTCAAACCTGCCAGCCTCGGTGTATGTGGCTGGTGCCCTACCCACTGAGCTACAGGCGCCACCAATAATGTTAATTTTTATTCTTAACATTCTGTAAATGTAAGAGCAAATAATACAGCTTAAAATTCTCACTAAAAATTTCTAAAAAGAGAGATTTATAGCTGATGACAAAAGAGACCTCTTACATAAAAGAAAGAGTATATTTCAGATTTCTTTCCAGAATTCATTTCTTAAATAAGATTTTTAGAAAAGTGAAGTACTAACTTTTTGTTTTACAAGAGATTTGAGGAAGATTATTCGGTTAATGAAGAGTTTTTAGAAAAACTTAGGAGTCTCATGGATTAAATCAGTTAAAATTTGTTTATATAAGCACAATGTGACATGTCCAATCTGAAGCTTTCTTTGTGAGTAGCACGTAGGTACAGGTCCCCATTGCATTATTCTGCAGTTGCCTTCTTGGAAAATCTTACTAGTTAGAACACTTTCCTCCCAATTAGAATATAATTTCAGAGGTATATTCCCACAGAGATAATTAAATCCAGACATAATGATGTACTTAAGAATGTAGAAAAAAATTAAAACATTGTTAAGAGAAAAATCATACTTTGGGGAAAAATAATCACAAATATTTGTTCATTGGCGGGTGTCATATTGCTCAGCTGTAGTGTAGGACAGTGAAAAACTCAAGCACACAAAGAAGGCAATTTGATTTACAAAGAACCACAGAGAAGCGGCTCTTCCTGATGGCTCATGTCTCATACAGGTTTTCAAGATTTAAAATGACTCTGCTTGTCATGAAGTTGTCCTTTGTCCTTTAGTACAGAGAGTGGAGTTGCCGTGAGATGTGTGCCTGGTTGTTAATATCTGGTTTTGAGATATTGAACAAAAAAGAGTCAGTTACAATCTGAAGGTCTTGTCCCATTGAACAGAAAAGAGAAAAGAGTTATCTTTGCCTATAGCCTTAGTTGAGAACATTTCCAGGTTACTCTAACTTTTTCTGTTTCGGTTGTTTGGCAGCATAATAAGAACTCTCAGTGGTGTCAGGAACATTTCCTGAATTACAAGGGTCTTGTTAGAGCTGTGACTGTACGAGAACAACTGAAAAAACTTCTTGTCAAATTTCAAGTGCCCAAGAATTCCAGCGAAGGTGAGAATAATTGGCCCCGGCTGGCGGCTTCCCCTCTTTGCTCTGGTTGGTTGGATTCTTAAAGTTCTCGTGCTGGGCAGGTGCTCAGCAGCACCTGTGCTTTGTGGGAACGCCAGGTTTCACATTTCAAGTTGCCATGAACTAATTCAAAGCTGAATGTGACATCGTGTATTTTTTCCAAGGCAGCTCATTTTTATTTCTGAGGAATATTCTTACTAAAGGAATTTCATAGCCTGTGGCCAGATTTTTAGAATTGTTAATATTGGTCAGAACTCCTGTGCTGATCAGTAGGGGATCGCGCCTGTGAATACTGCACTCCAGCCTGGGCAACATAGTGAGACCCCATCTCTTAAAAAAAAAAAAAAGAATTGTTAATATTTACTTCATTACACATCTTATGATTGACTTTCCAGTATAGGTTTGGAAGATAAATTACTTTTAAGTGGATGATATTTATGGCTAAGTAAAAATTACATCTTATTTTTAAATACAAGTAGCATTAAACCTGTGCTGTGTGCTGATCCTAGGTAGTGATTAAGGGTGAGGCCGAGAAGTATTATGTGAGACATAGTCTCTGCCTTCTAGCAGTGACCATTAATAGAGGACACAGTAGGTTAAACTGTGGTGGGGGCTGGAGGGACCCCAAGTTCAGAGAGCAGTCCAGTGTTCTCAGCAGCCATTCTGGGAGATGGGAACATCCTCAGATGCATCCAGCATTGGGAAGTGCAGGGCTGAGGCTGGTTCAGGGGAAGGTTTCTAGGCGGTGTGAAGCAGCCTAGGGTGGGGCTGAGGCTGGGCCTGTGCATCACACACAGGCAGGTGAGGGTCTCACCCCTCTCTCTGCTCCTTGTGCAGGTGATCCAGATCCAGTTCTCAGGTGCATTGTTTCGGGATTCTTTGCAAATGCTGCGAGGTTTCATTCTACAGGAGCTTATAGGTAAGGGGATACTTTGTGAAATGGTTTGTTAAAGGAAGAATCTTTTTATTTTATTTATTTATATTTTGGAAACTGGGCCTTGCCCTATCATCCAGATTGGAGTGCAGTAGCTCAATCATATCTCAGTGCAGCCTTTAAACTCCTAGGCTCGAGTGAACTTCCTGCCGCAGCTTCCCTGCCAGCTATAATGTACAGGACTGCACCACCACACCCAGCTAATTAAGAATTTTTTTCCCTAAAAAAATTATAGTTCTATTATCTTGAAGTCAGCCAAGTTATCCCTTGTTCTGGACAATGAGTCCAGAGTTGCACTGAACATTTTTTTTACTTTGCCAACCAGGTCTGCTCCACCTGGTATCCCAGTAGTTGACTGTTAGAAAACAGTGTCTTCTGTTTATCACTCCAGGCCACGTGTTCTAGCCTGTCAGTGTCATGGTTCCATTTACCTATCGTACGAGCTCCCCCTTCCTATATTGAGTTGTCTTGTGTTTGAGCACCTCTTCCCATGTGGAAGTGACCCCCTCCCCAAGAGGCTGAGGTCACTAGTGAGTACCACCAACTTGTCCTTTTGGTGCCCCAGTCTCCAGAAGAAGAGTGTTAATTAGCAATTTCAATTGGCATTTTAAAACTTCTTTCATCAGTGTCATTGACAAAAATATGTGATACCTGAGAGGTTTCAGAGCCAGTCATTTCCTTTGAGATCGGTAGGAACGTCAAGACCAGGACACTGGCTTTATTACTGTGCTGACAAAGAACTCAGTCATGGCCCTTGAAGCATTTCCCCTGCAGACGGACCCCTGGCACCCATAGGAACTCCCTTTCTGTGGTTTGGGCAGCAACATCCTAATCTATTAATGTTCCCTTATGATTTGCTCTTACTGATGGTTGTGTGCCTCATAAATATTTTTTAAATTAAGATGAATCAAATCAGAGTTGTGATTGGAAATACTGTTTTAATATTTCAGAGAAATTATTAGTACAATATTGAGCTTTCTTTTTTCACTACTAATACCTCTCTTAGAGTCTTTAGTGTTTAACTTTGTTTAATAGAAAAGCTTACAGAAGAAATCACATACACACATTATTTCTGTCCAGAAGGAAATTGTTTTGAAAGAATACCTGCAGAAGATAAACATAAACACAGGCAGAGCATTAGGTTTCTGGATGTTTTTACTGAGTGTCCACATGGTGCTTTTCTTCTTTTCCCTTTCACATGATTTATTCTTGATTTTTGGGGTGGCAGCAGGGGAGGGGGTGTTAAGGAAGGGTACAGAGAGGATAGAGGGAATTGTTTTATTTGTGAGAAGTTCAGTCTGTGTGCTTTTTTTTTTTTGTAATATTAAAAGCATTTATGGGAAAGTCTTGCCATAAGTATTTAGGATGGGCTTCAGACTAAACTCTTCTGTTTGCAAGGACTATCCGCGATGATCACGAGCTGCACATCCACCCTGCCTCCGTCCTCTACGCAGAGAAGCCACCTCGCTGGTGAGCCCCCTCCCGCTGCAGAGCCCTCTTGTGACTGCTTTGAAGGCAGGGCCTGGTTCTTTTTCATCTCTGGGTTCCCAGTGCCTGGCACAGGGCCTGGTGTACACATACTCCATACAGGCTGGTTGACTTTGCTATGCTGAATTGTCCTCAGGGTATCTGCTCTATCAAAGGTCTCCTTAAGCCAGTGGTTCTCAACCTTCCTAATGCCGCGACCCTTTAATATAGTTCCTCATGTTGTGGTGACCCCCCAACCATAAAATTATTTTTGTTGTAGCAACCCTGTATTAAAGGGTCATGGCATAAGGAAGGTTGAGAACCACTGCCTTAAGCAAATGGTGAAATTTGACTACTTGCTTATCCACTCAACAAATATTCATTTTGACCTGCTGGCTAGATGCTAAATCCTGCAGTAGGCACAGCTGTGCAGAGATGGATTGAGAGGGGCCCTAGTCCTGACATAGGAACAGATACAGACAGATACCCATATCTGAGGAGAAGGGTTTTGCTAGAGGGGTGGATAAAGTTGGTCCAGCATGTGCCATGGAGAGTTAGGGCCAGCTTCTTGGCAATAACTTTTGCTCTGGACCTAGAAATGAGAGTTATTGGGCAGAAAAGGACCTGAAGGGTGTTCCAGTCTGAGGAAATAGCATAGACAAAGCTGTGGGAATATGAAGGAGCCCCCTGAATTTGGGAAATGGGAAATCCTTGTTGTGCCTGGCCCAGAGGAGGTCCATGAGATGGGCCAGCTCTTCACACTGCCCGGAAGGTGATGAGTAGGGAAATCCAAAGGTAGGTATCTAGGCATCATTATAGCATTTTGAAACATTAAGTTTAAGTTTCTCCAATTTAATAACAAAATTTGGGGCTTGTATTTTGTATTCTTTTTTAAAAATTTCATTTTTCTAGTAATCATGTATTTTATTTTACCAAAATATTGATCAGCCATAGATTGGAAATTTTAAAGACCATAGCACCTGGTCCTTTACCAGTTGGAGGATGGAGAAGCCCTGGGACAGAGTATGAGGCAGAGAGAGAGGGAAGATTGCAGGAGATGAAAGTAGAGGGCAGAAAGATCTGTGGTCAGCTACTTTGTACCCTAGACCCAGAGTTTTCTTTTTTTTTTTTTTTTGAGACAGAGCCTCAAGCTGTCACCCTGGGTAGAGTGCTGTGGCATCACAGCTCACAGCAACCTCCAACTCCTGGGCTCAAGTGAGTCTCCTGCCTCAGCCTTCCAAGTAGCTGGGACCACAGGCGCCCGCCACAATGCCCGGCTATTTTTTGGTTGCAGCCATCGTTGTTTGGCGGGTCCGGGCTGGATTTGAACCCGCCATCTTAGGTGTATGTGGCTGGTGCCTTAGCCACTTAAGCCACCGGTACTGAGCCGACCCAGGGTTTTCAAAGTGGGGTCTCCGGCCCAGTGTCAACATCACTAGGAACCTTGCCTAGCCCTATGTGTCAGAAACTGCAGTGGGGCCCAGTACTCTATTTTAACAAGCCCTCCAGTATTTCTGATGGTTGAGAAAGTTTGAGCTCTATTCGCCTACCAAAGAATTAGACTTTGTGCTATAATGAGGGCAGATCTAGAAGCTTCTTGGGTGTTTTTGTTTATTTGTTTTGAGGCACAGTCTCATTCTGTTGCTCTGGGTGGAGTGGCTTCATTGAAGCTCATAGCAACCTCAAAACTCCTGGGCTCAAGTGATCCTCTTGCCTCTTGCCTCAGCCTCTTGAGTAGCTGAGACTACATGCACCCACCACCATGCCTGGCTAATTTTTCCATTTTTAGTGGGGATAAGGTCTCACTCTTGCTCATACTGGTCTCAAACTACTGAGCTCCAGCAATCCATCTGCCTCACTCTTCCGGAGCGCTAGGATTACAGGTGTGAGCCACCCGCTAGAAGCTCCCTAAATAGAGTGATTAGATCTGTTCTGGGTTTAGAAATGTTACCCAGTGGCCATTTGTGTGCAGGATAATTAGAAGAGGGAAGGCAAACCTCCCAGTTATGGATCCTTCTTTAAGGGTTTGCTGACTTTGGGGTGATTAAATTTGGAGATTACTTAAAAGAAAAAGGCTTTTCTTTGTCTTGCTTCATTCCCAAGGAGCTCTGAAGGGCAAAGAAAGAATGGGAATAGTCAGCCTGAAGCAGATCCTCACTGCTTAGGTGGTAAAGAACATGCCCCTCCCTTTTCCTTTTCTTCATCTGAGATTCATTTACAAGTTTTTGAGGGGGAGGCAGCCCCAGTGTGGCTGTTGTATTTACACTTGTGGGGGAAGCCCTGAATCAATGCTTTATGGAGCTCAGAAACTAATATCTACTAATATTCACTCCTAACATCTGGGGACTGGACATTTTGCTGGCTCATTGGTTGCCTATTACCTGAGTCTCAGATAAGTCTTTTTCCCTTAAATAAAGGTACAATTTATAAATAGCAAAAGATGAGTTTTGACCAATGTGTATTGCCATGTAACCCGCATTCCAAATAAGATATAAAATGTTTTTATCATTCTAGAAAGTTCCTTCGTGTCTCTTTACAGTTAATACCCAGCCCCTTTCTGAATCAGGCAAGCCTTTATTTCTATTTCTACTTTTTCTAATTAAGTCATTAGTCTGCATTCAGAGTTCTGTAAATGCAGACTAAAGATCCAGAAAAATCTTTTGCTGATAATTGAGATGTCCTAGAATTCATGTAGGGCGTAGAGTCTTATCTGTAAAGTGGAAACATTGTTATTCATCAGTCACATGTGAAGCTTATGTTAAGCATGTGAACCCGTGTCTAGTACGATTCCCGGAATAGAATAGATAGGTAGCTGTTAAAGGTTGAGGGAGAAGTGTGTCATCTCTAATTGTGGTTTCTTTCTTTTTTTTTTTTTTTTTTTTGAGACGGAGCCTCAAGCTGTCCCCCTGGGTAGAGTGCCATGGCATTACAGCTCACAGCAACCTCCAACTCCTGGGCTCAAGCGAGTCTCCTGCCTCCGCCTCCCAAGTAGCTGGGACCACAGGCGCCCGCCACAACGCCCGGCTATTTTTTGGTTGCAGCCGTCATTGTTGTTTGGCGAGTCTGGGCTGGGGATTCGAACCCGCCACCTTAGGTGTACCTGGCTGGCGCCGAGCCTCTAATTGTGGTTTCTGACTGTCATCATTAGCTATGGGAAATTGGCTCATGTTTCCTTCTTGTTTCAGGGTCATCTACAATGAAGTTATACAAACCTCCAAGTATTATATGAGAGATGTGACTGCCATTGAATCTGCCTGGCTGTTGGAGCTGGCTCCACACTTCTATCAACAAGGAACGGTAGGCATGAATATAAAACCTGTAACTCAAACCACCCATTAGCATCCCCTGCATATGTTTAAACGTATAGTTATTCTCTCATTTAAAGCCCTAAATTTTTTACCCTCCCTCTCCATAGTGCATTGGACAAGAAGGCCATTACTCTATTCCCAAAACATTCTGGCTGAAAGTACTTAACATTGGCCTCATAGTGAAGAATAATTAAAAATAAGTCCCTCCAGCTTGAAAGGGGAAAAGGAAGTATCTTCAGCTCTCTCTCCCCTCTTTGTTCTTCTAAACCATTTCTGAAGAAATTATATCATACTTTAGATCCATGTTCATTCACAGTGAGTGGCACAGATTCTCAGAAGAGGATTGCCTCATAAAGACTATGAACAGGTGTGCCAGCTTAACCACCTCGGGTTGAAAGCCATCTGTCCACTCTTCTCCCGTGGCCGGCCCACATGCAGGATGAGCAGGGCAGTGTGCCCTGGAGAGCAGGTTCATAGTTTGATTTTCTCCCTCATTTCTTCGAAAAAAAAAAGATCATTCATTAAAAAAAAGGGGGGGGGGCATACATTCTTCTAACAAGATTTTAAATTGGGAAATGATTATGTTTGGAAGCCTGGCAGGTAGATCAGAGTTCAAAACTTCCTGGGTTAAATTCAGCCCACAGATTCCTTCTTTTTGGTGTGGAATGTGTTTTTAATTGGGAAGTTGATTTAGTCCAGTTGTTTAATATAATCATTTGTAGTTAGATTTCCGTCTACCACCTTGCTGTTGGTTTCCTCTCTGTCCCACTTAGTCTTTGTTCTTTTCCCCTCATCCCTTTTGTACTGCCGCCTTTTGAATTAATCAGATTTAGGGGTATCTTTTTTATCTCTTCTAACAGATTTTTATACCTCTTAGGGTTTGGGGGTGGTTTCTCTAAAGATTCTTTGTGCATCCTTAGCTTACCACAGTGGATCTTGAGTTGGTAGATCCAGATTTCTGTCTGGTGTATCTTCCCTTGGGCCTGAAGAACGATTTCCTTTAATATATCTTTTAGTGCATGTCTGTTGGGGAAGTAGTATTCCCTCACCACTCATTTATTTGAAAATGTCTTTATTTTGTCTTTTTATATTTATTTATTTATTTTGAGATGGAGTCTCAAGCTGTCACCCTGGGTAGAGTGCCATGGTGTCACAGCTCACAACAACCTCAAACTCTTGGGCTTAAGTGATTCTCTTGCCTCAGCCTCCCAAGTAGCTGGGACTACAGGTGCCCGCAACAAATGCCCAGCTATTTTTTTGTTGTTGCAGTTGTCATTGTTGTTTTAGCCAACCCGGGTCAGATTTGAACCCATCACCCTCAGTGTATGTGGCCAGCTCCCTGCTGACTGAGCTACAGGCACTGACCTCTTGTCTTTATTTGTGAAAGACATTTTTTCAATATAGAATTCTAGATTGAGGGTGGTGCCTGTGGTTCAGTGGGTAGGGTTCTGGCCCCATATACTGAGGATGGTGGGGTCGAGCCCAGCCCCAGCCAAACTACAACCTCCCCCCCCCCCGAAAAAAAAAGAATTATAGATTGAAAGCTTTTTTTTTTTTTTTTTTTTTTTAACCCTTTAGCAAGTTTATTTCATTATAGTCTGGCTTGAATTGTTTCTGTGAAAAGCCAATGACCTGCTTTATGATTTTTTTTAATATTTGATTTTCAGCATTTTGATCTATGGTTTTCCTTGTATTTATCCTACTTGGAGTTATTGATCTTTTTGAATCTTTGAGCTGATTTATTAAAATCATATTTGGGAAGTTTGGGGCCATTCTTTAAATTTTGTTTTTCTCCTCTAATCTTTTTCTCTCTACTCTCCTTCTGGAACTCCAGTTATGTATGTGTTAGAACACTTGATACTGTCCCACATGTCACAGAGGCTGTGATCTTGTTTTTTCCCTGTGTTTCAGTTTGGGTAATTTCTCTTTTGGCAAGAGTTAGACAGTCTCATTCTGGTGCCCTGAGTAGAGCAGTGTGGCATCAGCCTAGCTCACAGCAGCCTCAAATTCCTGGATTCAAGTGATCCTTCTGCCTCAGTCTCCCAAGTAGCTGGGACTACAAACACCTGCCACAATGCCCGGGTAATTTTTCTATTTTTATTAGAGATGTGGTCTAGCTGTTGTTCAGGCTGTTCTTGAACTCCTGAGTTCAAGGGATCCTCCCACCTTGGCCTCCCAGAGTGCTAGAATTACAGGTGTGAACCGATGTGTTGGGCCTTGGATAATTTCCATGATCTGTCTTCAAATTTACTGAGTACTTTTTTTTTTTTTTTTGAGACAGAGTCTGAAGCTGTCATTCTAGGTAGACCGATCCTCTTGTCTTAGTTTTTCTATTTTTAGTAGAGATTGAGTTTTGTTTTTTGCTCAGGTTGGTTTTGAAAAACGTGAGCTCAAGCATTCCACCTGCCTGGGCTTCCCAGAGTGCTAGGATTACAGGCATGAGCCACTGTGCCCGGCTTGATCACTTCGTCTATAGTGTCCAGTCTCTTGTTAAACCCATCCAGAGAATATTTCATTTCAGATACTGTATTTTTCTATTCTAGCATTTTAATTTAGTTTTTATATAATTCATGTGTTTACTCATTATGCCCATCTTTTTCTTTAAATCTTTGGATATTTTTATAATAGCTACTAATTCAGTGCCTCTATCACTTCTGGTCTGTTTTCTCTGTTGGCTACTTTTCTTCTTTGTTATGGGTCATGGTTTCCTGCTTCTATTGTCTAGTAAGTTTTTGTTATGTAATAGATGTTATAAATGCTATTTTGTAGAGCTTCTGGATTTTGTTCTCTTATGGAATGTCAGGTTCCTCCCCACCATCCCCAGTAGCTAACTGGCACATCAGTTTGACTCTGCTGAGCCTTGATTTTAGTCTTTAATAGGGCAGTCATGTGCCCCAAGTTATGACTTTTTTTTTTTTTTTTTTAATTACACATGGCCTTTTTGGTGTCTCAGCTGAATGGCTGGGATACTCAAGGAGGGCTTTGCACTCAGACAGACCAGAGCTCAGTGTCTCTCGCACAGTTCAAACCTCCAGAATCTCTGTCTCAGTTTACAACTCTCCAGTAACTGTCCTCTGTTAGAATCTCTGCCTTACCAAATCTTGGCCTGCATGTACGTAGCTTATTATCTAGCCAAAGACTTAAGGGTGGCCTGTGTAGATTTGTGGAACTCCTCCCATTTGATGTCCTTTCCTGTGAATCCTGCCCGTCTTTGTGGCCCTCAGCTCTTGTCCCTGTTTGCTCCACTGACCGCACTGTCCTTGTTTAGGCTTTACTTCCCTGTGTGGAGGCTTGGAGATGCGGGCTGGGACCTGGGATGTGTATGGAGCTGAGCGTGTGTGCATTTCTTTTTTTTTTTTTTCAAGGATTGCAGCCTTGTGCTGTTTGTTGTTCAATGTCTGAAAACAGTTGCTTTAGATATTTTGCCCAGGTTTACTGTTGTGTACAGCAGCAGAGAAAGTCCAAGACCCGTTACTCCATCAGAGCTAGAACTGAACTGCGCAGGGTTTTCAAACTAAAATTGAATTTAGTTCCGTCAGAGCTAGAACGGAACTGCGCAGGGTTTTCAAACTAAAATTTGAATTGGTTGCCACATTTAAAAATCGAGAGGTTTGATGTGAAATGTAGATTTCTAGTTTGTCTTGAAAGAAAGTTAAATCCTGTAACCCGGGGCCTAAGCCCCTGCCTGGTTGTAGTCAGCAGGGCTGAAGAGCAGGTACTGCTGTTGGTGACGCCTTCCCGTGCCGCTGTCCTGCTTCACTCGTGTTCTCACTTGCTGAAATCTTGGAGACGTGTGAATTTGTGACTTTGTAAATGGAAGGGTCTGCTCATCCCTCTTCCTCTGGCAGGAAGGGAGGAGAAGGAAAACCGTCCTTTAAAAAGCGTCTCACAATATTTAATTCTTTCTTCACCAACCAAATGAAAAACATTTCAAACCTTTATGATTCTTCACACATCCCAATACAGACATTTTAGCTGGAAACCTGATGAACAACAGCGACTCTGCTGGGTTGGGTTGATAAGAAGAAGCTTGTGGTGAAGGAAAACCTCTTAGGTGGAAAGCGGCAGGCTTCAGAGTCTAAGAGAAGTGATCAGAAATGCAAACTAGAACTTGGGAGAATGGCACAGTGGTAAAAGTGCTTGTTCAAGTAATAAGATGCAAGCAGTTAAGAGAGGGATGAACCTGAAATTGTCTTGGATCCATTTAGACTCTTGGAGAACAGAATTAGCCTAGAAGCTGAGTCATTTTCCCTTCTCGGCTCAAAATGACAGTTTCTTTAGGTCAAACCCACAAAGTTAAAGAGCAAATAGTTTTAGAAACTTGAAGAAAATGACAGTTTCTGTGATCAGAGTATTTTTAGAGAGGCTGGACCATTAGGAATCACTCAATACAGTAGCCTCATTGTACTGCGAGGGTCCTAAAATCCCAGAGAAACTTGTCCCCTTCTCAGCTACAAAGTGCAGAGGCACTTGTGTGTACTATTAACTTGTCTAAAACAGATTGGTTTCTGGAAGAGCTCTCCGGTGGCTGCCCATCTATGGTGTGTGTCTCTTCGTTGAACACAGCGCAGCACTTCACAGCCACCCGCAGCCCCAGATCATCCTCGGCTCTTCCCTGGCACCTTTTGACTTTCCATCACTGTTGTTTTTCACAGTGTTTCTTATCCTCTAAGGAGGCCCAAAATGGTTCGGATTCAGCTTTGTTTATACTTAACATTCTTCTCAGAAACCAGTACCAAAAATGGCTTCACAGGCACAATGGCATCCTCTCCCACTCCTGTGGACGTGTCTAACATTGGCTGTAGGGTCACATTAGGTGAAGTAAAGGGAGGAGAGAATGCAGAGAAATTCAGTAAGACCCACAGCTGGACGGAGGAAGAAGGGGGTGACCCATTCAGAGATTTGCCTCCCAGTCCTGAAATTTTCTTTCCTGATTCTCAGAGACAACTTTGTTATCTAGCGAAAACCCTTTTTACCTGGCCTTTGTAGGAACCTGTACTGGTCCTTTCTCAGACATGAGTGGATAGAAAGTCTGAATTCTTTTTTTTTTTTTTTTTTTTTTGCATTTTCCATTATTTATTCATTTAACTTTTTTTTTTTTAATTGAATGGTAACTATGTACATTAATGCACTTCTGGGGTACAGTGTGGGGTTTTCACACACAATCCGAAACACTTCCGTCAAACTGGTTAACATAGCCTTCATGTCATTTTCTTAGTTATTATTTTAAAACGTTCACATTCTACTCTTAGAAAGATTCACTTGTACCCTTGTAAGATAAACCTCAGAAGTGATCCCTCCAATCCCCCTCCCTCCACCCATTCCCCCCTCGAAAGTCTGAATTCTTATAGCTCATGTAGACCTGGGTCCTGTTACTCTGTCATCCCTTGTGTCCTGCCTGGTAGTGTGCTGTGCCTCCTTTCACACCTGCAGTTCTGTGGGCGATAGGGCTTGCTGTCATGAGGTCACATGGGTGTACTGAGAAGTGGGCAGACCGTGGAGCAGTCAGGGGGATGGGAATTCTTCTTGCGATGATCCCACTGCATGTTATGGCAGCATGCCTGAGCCAACTCTTGGTTATCTCTGTATGATTACTAATGGGTTATCAAATATGCCTCAGTTGGTGAGAAGAGCTTGATTAAAAACCTATGTGTAGCTGGGCATGGTGGCTCATGCCTGTAATCCTAACACTTTGGGAGGCTGAAGTGGGTGGATTGTTTGAGCTCAGGAGTTGGAGACTAGTCTGAGTAGGCGCGAGACCCTGTCTGTATTAAAAATAGAAAAATTAGGGTGGTGCCTGTGGCTCACTGAGTAGGGTGGTGGCCCCATATACCAAGTATGGTGGGATTGAACCCAGCCCTGGCCAAACTGCAACAACAACAACAAAATAGCCAGGCATTGTGGCAGGTGCCTGTAGTCTGAGCTACTCGGGAGGCTGAGGCAAGAGAATCACCTAAGCCCAAGAGTTGGAGGTTGCTGTGAGCTGTGACGCCATAGCACTTTACCAATGGTGACAAAATGCAACTCTGTCTCTAAAAAAAGAAAAGAAAAAAAGGTAGAAAAATTAGCTGGTGTTATGGTAGGCCCCTGTAGTCCTAACTACTTGGGAGGCTGAGGCAAGAGGACTGCTTCAGCCCAACAGTTTTATTTTACTGTGAGCTATGACACCACGGCACTCTACCTAAGGGTGACAGAGTAAAACTCTGTCTCCAGGAAAAAACAAGAAAAAGAGTATGTGTACACATTTTGCTTCCAATGCATATTTTAGGATTTCTAGCACTTTGGGCTTTACTTTAGAATATAAAGAATATTTGTAGCTCTATTAACTGATGCCCACAATTGTGCTTCTTGTTATTTATACTGGTAGAAAGTGACATTTCTGGGTGGAAAACAAAGTGTCACTAGGAGGTATCCTTTTCCCATCGTTACCAGAAAGTTTGTACCCTACGTGAGGGCAGGGGCCGTGTGTTCATCTCCATCCTTCAGCACTAGGACCTAGCATCTTGAAATGCTTGGTAGATGGATTGATTTTCTTGATCCTAAGAAGAGTATATGTGTCAGGAACTTTCAGGACAGTTGAGGTCTACTGCAGCCCAAGTCAAGTCTTTTGAGCACAGGTGTTTGGCCACAATGCTCTCCTGTGGGCTAGGCCAGAGGAGAGCTGTGTCTAAAAAAGACCACTTTTCTTGACAGCTTCCACGGTGCCCTGTGTAACCATGGCCAGCCTTAGTGGCTGGGCTTCTGGCTGTTGTCTGCTTATTGAAGTCTTTTTTCCTTTATTGGTCACTTGGGCATTTCCCCTCCAGACCATTTCCTGAGGGACACTGCATTTATTGGGAAGGTGTAGACCAGATGGCAGATTTGATTCAGTCTTTCATACAGGAAATATGTTGGAGTCTGGTTTCTTTGTCTAACCACCCCAACTCTGTTGTCTACTCTTCTCTTACAGCATCTGTCGCTGAAAGCCAAAAGGGCCCGGGTCCAGGACCAGTGAGCAGAGCTCAGCTGCAGCCTCAGAGGCTGCTTGGTGTCCTCCTCCGCGCTGCTGTCCCAGCTCCAGGCGGTGAGCGGGCACCAGCTCCTGTGGAGCCTTAGCTGCTCTGGTGTGGGCTGCAGCCTGTTCATTAGCACCATTCTTCCCGCCGACCTCAGCACTTGCATTCCTTGCTGAGGTCCCGGAGGACTTTGTGCATGGGCAGGCATACTGCTGCACCGTACCCGGGCAGAGCGAGAGTTGGCTGGGCCAGCCTTCGGGTCACTCTGCACGCTCACTCACCCAGCATGCCACTTCCAGTGGGCACAAGACCTGGCCGGGCTTCATGGGAAAGGAGGAGGAAACTTGGTCACTGAAGGTTGAAGCACCATGTCGGGGACAGAGGGTTTGCCGGGCTGGTTGTATTTTCCCTGCTGGGGCTGCCAGTGACGTCTGCTGTCAAGTGTGAACAGGCACAGGTCTACGAAGGAATGAGACCTTGGAGGTGCTGCGGGTCTCTGCCAAAATCACCGAGGCTCATGTCTGGCGGGCCCAGGACCTCCCAGAGAAGCAGCTTCTGTGTGTTGGCTGCCTGTGGCCCTGTTGGTCTGTGGCCAGGAGACTTGCGCAGGGATGGTGATCAGCAGAGAGGAGCTGTGCACTGTCCTGTGTGAGTCCAGGATTTCTTGTTTCACAAGTGGGCTTAGCTTCCCCTCAGAGTGCAGTACCATGTCCTGGTGCCACTAGCTAGAACCAGTGACAGTTTATCAGCTCAGACCCCTTGGGGGCTCCTCTTTAGCTGGAATTCACAACAGTTTAGATGCTCTAAACTTCCGTAGCTCAGGAACATAACTACTATATACCTGATTTTTGTTTGCTTGGATTCTTGCCAGGGCATGTGGGGGCGACTTTTCCAGCAGGCACTGGTTTCACTGTTGCCCAGGGCTGCTTCGCTGTGACAATGTTTTCCCCTTACGGTTTCAATGACATTTATTTTAAAAACATATAGCTTGAAAATTTATTTTTGTACTAATACTAGTTTGGATACACCACTTTTGGCACCAAACATGTATGTCATTTTTATTTCTGTTTTATAAACGTGTAAATAATAGCAATAACTTGTTAATAATAGTAACCCTTTATACCTAAAGTAAATGTATTTCCTCCCATGCCTAGTTTTCATGGTCTGTATTTTAAGGTGGTTCAGTTAATTGTTCCAAGTGAGAGCCTGACGTTAGCCAAGAAGCTGCTGCTGTGGTATTGTGTAGCTTTGGGGGTCACATGGACACAGGAGGACCATACAGTGAAGTCGTCTAACTGAATGCTTTAGAGCAGTGGTTCTCAACCTTCCTAATGCCTCGAGCCTTTGATACAGTTCCTGTGGGTCGGTTAAGAACCACTGCTTTAGAGTAAAGCTTGAGGCAGTAAGGAAGTCCCAAAGAAGTACTCATTGGTAGGGATCTTTCTGTAGAGAGATCAGAAACATACTACAGTGGGACCTCTGAAACTTGACTGCCCAAGGGACTGTAATGAACTGGTCAACATCAGGAACAGGCCTACTGTATTGATAACACACATGTGCCACATGTCTGGTCTATGGAAATTAGATCAGCTTAAGGAGGTGGTCAACTATGGAAGTTCTACTGTAATTAAAGTCTGGCCTTGGGCTTGGGGCTTGTCCTAATAAGCCTGTGTTGTAGTGGAAGAAGGGGAAGGAACGGGATCCACAGCTCCAGGTTTGAGGCTAGAGGTCAGAGACAGGAGGCCAAAGGATCTTGGCAGGAACGAACTTAAATAGGTGTGACTTCACTTGCCACCTCTATCTTTGTGCCTGGTCCTGAGTACACCTGGCCCCTCTGTACCTCCATGTCTCAGAGGACAGCCCTCACCACAGCAGGCAGACCTGGTGTTTATCCTGTGTTCCATTTCAGCCCCGTGGAGATGCATCCTCAGTGTCAGAGGCAACTGCAAAATCCCGCGACCATGCCTAGGGGCCCCTTTACATGTACTCTCTATCATACCAGGGACTACATGACCTTGTCAGGGAGAGGTCCCAGCCTGGTGCTTTGGACTTCATCTCTTGCAGGTTTTGCATCCCTGGCCCCACTGCCAGCCCTCAGGCACGATAGCAGGGCCCGACTGCCTAGCAGCTCGCAAGACTCAGTCCTCTAGTAGTTCTGCACAGTCAGTCACCTCAGGCTCCACACAGGTCTTCACACAGCATGAGTGAAATTTCCCACAGCATCTCTGTGGCTTCCCTCTACAGCAAGGTAAGGGTGGAGGGGATTTTATGCTGGAAAATGTAGGGGTGTGGGCATCCCTAAGGCCCAGAGATGAGAGGTTATGTGTTGGTGGCTTGCAAAGACCCTCTCCACTCTCTGCCATTAATGGGTCTCCCTGTGAGTTGGACACTGCCATCACTAGGGAACCCTGGTTCAGTCAGAGCTCCTCGTGGCCACTTAGTCCAGGCAGCCAGTGTTGAGCCCTTGGCTGTATGCATGGCATGGGGGTTGGGTAGAGGTGCTTGATGGTGAATAATGGATCAGGGCACCATGATGGAGATGGCAGGAGCCAGTCAGGGTGGTTAGAGGCCCGGGTAGTGTCCATAGAGGCTTCCCCACGACAGGATGCTTTTCTGGTGAAAGTACAGGCTTTTCTCAAATTCTGCTGCCTTGGCACTTACCACTTAGCTTTGCACTTTGGTTCTGAACTTGAAGAGTTACCTACCCAGTTCCCAGCTCCATGTGCCTCTCTCTACTGTTTTGTCCTGGTGTCAGCACAGCCTGCTACCTCTGTGGACCAGGCCCTGCCATTCAGTCTTCATTTGTCCCCAGCCCTGCCCTTCAGCGTCACCTTCCAGGACCCATTGCTGATAGCTTGGGGCCATGATTTCATAGCCTGAGTCAGGATGTGTGCTGACCAGGTGGGGGGCTTGGAGGATGAGAGGTCATGGGCCATGGTGCCTACATTTGGATGACTCTGAGATCCTGTCCTGGGGCCACTGGACCAGATCTCTGACAGTGAAATCTGGGAAGCTATAAGTTTAAAAGCCTCATTTGGGGTAGTTCTGATGAAGAGGGGGGTGGAAACCACAGGTGAAGGAGACAGGAGTTGGTGACATGAGGATGTGCAGCCTAGGGGACAAGGGAGCCCTTAGATGGGAGGCCAAAATGTCAGATGAGAGAAAGGTGACACATTGGTTTTTGCACAAGTTGGTTGTATCCTCATGTGTACTTAGACCCTGGCCCCAGGCCCCTTGCCTCTGCCTCCCAAATACTGGTCAGCATGGTTGGGATTCGACTCCCAGAAGATTGTGGATTTTCCTGACTCTTGCAAAAATGAAGAACATGTCATAACAAGCATTTTGTCAAGCTTAACTTTTATTTTTTATTTTTAATTAAGGTTTTCAAGATAGTTATAGATTCACATGCACCCTTCAGAAATAATACAGAGATATACCATGTATCCTTTTTCAATGGTAAAATCTTGCAAAAACTATATTACATTATTGCAAACGTGATATTGACATTCATACAATGAAGATACAGAACATTTTTTTTGTTTCTTTTTACCAAAGAATCCCTCATCTTGCCCTTCAATATCCATACCATGTCTGGCTAGCCCTTAGCCCCCTTCTTAACCATTACAACCACTAATCTATTGTACATTATTTCTGTAATTTTTTTTATCAGAATGTTACACAATTGGAAGCATACAGCATGTAACCTTTTGGAATTGTTTTTTTCCCCCCACTTATCATAATTCTCTGGAGATTCATCCAGGTCGTTGTGTTCATCAGTAATTTGTTCCTTTTTTATTGCTGAGTGTTATCCCACAGTATGGATGGACCATAATTTTTTTTTTTTTTTTCTTGCAGTTTTGGGCTGGGGCCGTGTTTGAACCCATGACCTCCGGGATATGGGGCCAGTGCCCTACTCCTTAGAGCCACAGGCACCACCGCATATTTTTTTTTTTTTAATTTCAGATTAATATGAGGGTACACATGTTTAGGTCCATTGTTTTCATTTCTTTCTTTCTTTCCTTCTTTTTTTTTTTTTTTTTTTTTTTTTTTTTGAGACAGAGCCTCAAGCTGTTGCCCTTGGTAGAGTGCTATGGTGTCACAGCTCACAGCAACCTCCAACTCCTGGGTTTAAGCGATTCTCTTGCCTCAGCCTCCCTAGCAGCTGGGACTGCAGCAGCCCACCACAATGCCTGGCTATTTTTTGGTTGTAGTTGTCATTGTTGGGCAGGCCCGGGCAGGATTCAAACCCACCAGCTCTGGTGTATGTGGCTGACGCCTTAGCCACTTGAGCTACAGGCACCAACCCACATTGTTTTCATTTCTAAGGTAACGTTGAAGTTGTAGTTGAGCCCTTCACCCGGGGGCGTGCTGAACACACTCATATTGTGTACAGTAGGTGAGATCTTGCCAATCGCCCTCCCTCTTGTTAGACTATACTTATGTTTTTTCTTTTGTGTGGGTGTATAGTTGTTTAATTATTGGTTTAATATTAGTGTTGAATATATTGGAACCCCCCCCATTCTTGAGATACTTTACTATTTATTTATTTTATTTTTTGAGAGATGGGGTCTTGCTCTGTCCTCCAGGCAGGAGTGCAGTGATGTGATCGTAGCTCACTGTAGCCTCACACTCCAAGGCTCAAGTGAGTTGACTGCCTTAGCTTCCCAAGTAGCTGGGGCTATAGGTGATTGCTAGCATTCCTGGTTAAGTTTTTCTATTTCTGGTAGAGACGAGGTCTCTCTGGTGCCCAGGCTGGTCTTGAACTCCTGGGCTCAAGCAGTGCTCCTGCCCTAGTCTCCCAGAGTGCTGAGATTATAGGCGCGCCTGCCAAACTCTCGGAGCTAAAATGTTTTCTTTTAGGAAATGATGGTGATATTAGATAGTATTGTAGTTTTATCTTTTCTTTTTTTTTTTTTTTTTGCAGTTTTGGCCGGGGCCAGGCTTGAACCTGCCACCGCCAGTATATGGGGCTGGTGCCCTACTCCTTGAGTCACAGGCGCTGCCTGGTATTGTCATTTTTTAATAATGTTTTCCTTGGAAAAGTAAAATGCCAACAATTCTGTGTCAGTACTTAATTAAGAGCCAGTTGGGGATGAAAACAAAAATGGGTTGATGGACTCCCTCAGTCTAGACACTCCGAGTTTGGAGGCTAAGTACACAGGGCATCAGTGCTAGCCTCATAGTTCTGGGGACATGGTTCCGAACTGCCCTGCAGCTAAGTTCCAGGTGAACTTTGGAGCATCTGGAGGCTTGTTTTGCCATCTCACTGGAAGGATTTGAGTTGGCAGCTCTCAGCCCCCATATCCCTTCTTCACCTCAAGGTAAGATCAGATGTTTTCTACTTTCCAATGACTCATCTGGATTTTTCCTCAACCCTCCAACTTGTGATGAAGCAAGGTGATGGATTTCTTGTCAAGTTAACCTATCTTTTTCGGAGTCATTGGGATTGGAAATAGGCAGTCAAATCATTTTTGCAAATAGCTGGTCACTCTGGTGACTGGCTAGTTAGCATGGCAGATGGTCTGGGGAGGGCTTGCAGCACCTGGGTCCTCACGGTCATTGCTCCCTCTAGCAAGCAAGGGTGGATTGTGGAAATGTTACCTTGAACACTCTCGGGTGGTATTGAACTTGTTGGAACAGGCTGTTTCCAGCACAGCCTGGAAACTCTGGCATGGGCCCTCTACTCACCAGTGGGGATTCTCCTGTAGGCAGTGGGCAAGGCTGGGAGGTTCATGGGTCATGAACGGGCACAGTGGCTAATGCTCCAGAATCTCCACTGCTAGGCTACTGCTCTTCCACTGCTGCTGCCTGCAGCTTCTAGGTCCTTGTCCAGTGGCCATGGCCTGGCCAGTGGCTGTGATACAAAGGTCCTGGACAGGCTCTTTGCTGGTCTCAGCCTGATGGGTGAAGCCATACAGGGTCCAGAGGTAGCCTAGGCTCCTTCCTGCCCCCTGGGCACTGCCACCAGGCTGCTGGGGACTCATCAGCTCACCCTCTGTTTATTTTAGCCTCCTTCTCTTGATTCCTTTTTTAGTCTTATTCTGTTTTTAGGTTTGCTTCCTATCTGCTGTCACCATCTTTTCTCTTAGTTGTGCTTTGGGCTTTTGTTTTTATTGTGGGTTTGCTCTGCCCCTTTAATCTCTGCCT